GTATTAAATGTAAAAATAATTGAACGTTTAATTGTATTTATTATGTAAATGAAGTGAATCTGTTTGTTTATTCACAGATACTTCCGATGAAATTTCTCATATATTAAGTTTACCTCGGTTCATACTAATTCGCAACACGAACGACCCTCCCTTATTGCTACTCACCTCCTGCGGATAGAACGGCGCTTGCAGTGACACGCATATCGCGTTCGCGAAATCAGCGATGCTGATCACGATCAACGTCAGCCACTGCCTCTTCGTAAATTGAGCCATCATTGTCTCCTTTGCCGATATCACGATCGTTCCTGTCGAGGTTTCCCGCGTTCACGTCGCGAATCACGAACACCAGGGATCCCGACCACCGACTCGTGGCTACCCTAATCACTGAACGATGCGCGTCACCCTTGTATCTCGGCGTACTTCCGAAAATCGTTTGACTCCGCGCTCTGACTCCGGGTTACAAGTCGATTTTCACTGTCGGTCTTCGGGACTACGGGGAGGGAGAAGACGGGGTCACGGGTCGAATGATATTTAAGTGTATGTACGTCTTACCATTCGGCTCTAATTTCTATTATCTGGAGTTTATCGGTTGCGCGACTTCAATCCTCGTTCGGCTTCGCGTTCCAAACGATTCGTGGCTCTAGTTCTTTGGCAGAAGCTTTCAGTTCTCTCGAATTTCTTTGATATTCGGTACGTCGAAAAGATTGATTCATTTAATACGCAAGATTAGAAAATTAGGGCATAGAAAATGAAATCCATATTACTGTTCCCTTTTACATTTACATAGATTGCACTTTCTTGACTTTATTAATTTTTTATAAAAATCTGCAGTCTATGAGAAACCATTTATTGTAAAAATAAAGTTTTAATTAAGTTTGATCGAGATTTATTCACACAATAATTTAATCGATTCAATTAATTCAATTAGCATTTCATATTTTATTAGAAAATATGGATTGACCTCGTGAAATCAGAATTAAAAAAGGGGTGTACAATTTCGATCAGTCAACTTCGCACCCTGTAAATAAAACTGACCCTTATCATGGCAAGCAGAGATTAGAAAATTTCATTATCTCAAAACTTTGAAGCTCGCCCCTCTCGTATTTATCCTATCACGTCCACGCCTGTTTTAGTGTATTCTGGAAAAGTTTAGTCGATTACGTGGCAAAACTATTTACCATCAGTTACAGTTTTATTACTCTATTGTCACTTTGCTATCTTCGTAGAAGAAATTTTGGTCCTTCACTTTATTTGTTGACCATTTTCAGAATTATTTAGCAGCAAATAAGCACTAAACGGTCATCGAAAATGATTGATAGGGCCTTACGATTATTGGGTTTGTAGAATCTATTAATTTATTTCAAATGTAACATGAATCGTGTATTGAGTCATTCGAAATGTAACATGAAACGTGTATTGAGTCATTCGAAATGTAACATTAAATGAAAAATACTTGAGGATGTGTTAATGTCTGCAATTTTTCATTTAATAAACGATTGATTATGCATTAAGGTCAATATACATAGTTCAAAGTCTTAAGTCGAGTCTTCTTTTAATTAAGCTAGATACGTTGCAAATAATATGAAGTTTAATATCATATCTCTATACAGAGAAACGTTGTCCTTTTATAAAGGAAAATGCAATAGAGGACTATTTAAGTTAACTTTCCTGCTTATAGTTATTATGTCATGTCGTGATACATGTGATATACTATGTACTATATGCTACACATTTACTATTTAAAACAATTGGAAACTAGTAGGATAAATATGATTGCCTCTGTTTTAAAAATGAGACAATTTTAGGAAGTGTTGGAAATATAAAAATGAAGTTTTTACAAATCAATTTAATCAAAACTGATTCCCCAAATAATTAACAGACAACCATGGTTCTAGCCTGGTATCACTTCAACGTCGGTAGTATATTCACAATTCTAAGAAATGAATCACCAGTGCTTCAATTACCATCGAGCACGAAATCCGCGACCCGTCGCATGATCAGTGCATCGAAATATCCTGTCGATCTTTTTACACGTCGACACGATTACAGTCCTTCCCACTAAAACTTAATAAAGAGAACGAGACGTTCATTCGAGGAAACAATCATCCGACTACGTGTCGTGGAGCCAAACTTTCAACGGGATTTTGTTCATCGCTTTGCCGAGGAAGTCTTTGAAGTGCTTCGCGATGCTCGAGCTCGCGGCCGGTCTCATCTCCTCGATGATCTCGTTCGCGTTCTGGTTCAAGAATTGATTCATCGCCTTCCCGATCACGTTGTCCCCGTTCAGTTGATCGATCACGCGGAATTGGGCCCGCGCCAAGCTGAAATCCACCAGCATCCGAGCCACTTTCAAGTAACGTATCCCATCTCGGATCTCTTCCGCGCCTTGAATCCGACCGATGGCCAACACGTTGTCTGAAACGCGGTTTGAATTCTCAGAAAATTGCCTGACAGACTTCGATGTTCTTTAATAAAACACGTCTGCATTCTTACAAACAAGTTATATTAAAAAGTCTCTCCCTGTATTTACCAAAAAGGGCCCAGAAATCTCCGTGGCTTTGAATAGGGAAGAGCAACACGTTTCCAACCACTTCGTACCGCCCTTGCAACTCGATCTTCGGGAAGGCAAGATGAAGGTCCAGCCTGTAGGTCCTCACGTCTATTCTCGTCTTGGTGATCGTGTAATTACCAGCCCCGAAGACCGTGATATTGGAGAACAGCGCTTTGACACGTACAGCTCCCTGGCCGTTCTCCATTCCCAGTTCAGGGATGACCAGTGGCTCGATCGGAGGCAAGTCCAGCTCAGGTATACCTAGGAAAGGGTTACTCTATACAATGTACAGAATTAATCGCCTAACTGGATGAACTTCTGAACAGTTACTGCTGAGCACATCTAATTTAATTGTTTTAATTGTTTAATTAATTTGAGTAATTAAATATAATCTTGAAAATATATGACAATTTTTAATTGAATATTCTGAATATTTGTGAAGAATATCATTTCGATGTATATAAATAAAGTATATTGTATGAGAATATATTCTGTGTATATGTACTGTGTTTTATAAAATATACATTTCTCCTAATTGAAGAAAGCCACGGAAGAAGGGCATCCGGTTTATGTAAGGGTTCACAAGCAGAACGAAAATGCACGTGGTGATTAATTGTAAATTATATAAACCATAATTGTAAAACCTACAAATCAGCGACGTTCAGAAATCCATTACATAAATACCTTCACTCTAATGTAATGCCGTATGTACTCTTCATCTTCCAAACAACGGATTCGCTTTAACTTGCAATTTAAATGTACAGTAAATTTCAGAATTTTCATTTATTGCAGCTAAATCGATTAGCAAATAAACTGAAATATCTTTTCCATTAGGTGTAGTTAAACAAATTAGCAACGCAAATTCTAGGATATTTAAATTGATATAATTTTTAATATAATTGAAACATTGTATTTAATATACATGAATATGAATATAATATAGATGAATATTTTTATTTCAAACATGTTTTTACTCACCCTTTAACAAATATGGCTGCAGATGATTCAATGTTTTTTGGAAGCATGTCTCTATTTTGGGATCCGACCTATCACATGGTAATATGTACTCGGCTGTGGAAAATGAGAAATTTTCAAAGAACAAATATTCGAATTTTTATCACTGATACAAAAATCCTCTATTCCATTTATTTGTGTACCAATTTCTATACCTTTATGCAACCACTTCTAATCCATAAATATTTTAAAAAACCAACTGATTTTTAGATAATACTATTTAAGAATCGAATTTTCATTAGTATCTCGTAAACTGTTGGAACTGTTCAAGCAAGTGATTTATCTTCCTCGAGCGTAAGAACTGTTATTTTTTCCTCAGCAAACCTTCGAACGATCGTGCTACGTTGCGTCAGCTGAGGAAATTTACGACACTAGATTTTTCTACTTTCTTTTTCGCCGTACCACAAAATACACAGAGCGTGTGAAATCTGTCATTGTTACTACTCTCAGTTATGTTTAACTAGAAAACAAGTTCGTCGTTGGTATTTTTTTACAAACGATATTTATTGAACAATTCGTATTTTATTATGTACAATAATTTATAATAAATTAAAGTGATAATTTCAACCGCAGACTTTTTTCAAAGAGCGTAAAATAGGCAGAAGAAATAATAAGCAAGGAGAGACTTCAACGCGCGTCATAAACGCACTGCAGTGCGTCGATAAAATTCTTAACGCTGAGAAAAACCGCAGAATCTGACTTAACTTAAAATAGCAATTACCTCACAGATTTTTCTGGCAATTTTTATATTCACTTAATAATGTTGCTTAATTTATTATTGATTACGATGATTCATTATTTAATTGTTCAGAAAATTATTAAAATTGTTCAGAATAAATGTTTGAAATCTTTATATTAATCCAGCCATTTAATTTCCACATTGTCAGTCTTTATTTTCTACAGACCAGCAATCGACTGTAACAACAATATTTCCATAGGTAAGTGTTTTTAGTTACGAGACTCCATTTGAATGCTAATAAGGTTTCGCTCTATTCTTGGATACTTTGCAATTAAATTAACGTCGTCAACAGACAGTGTTTATGCAAGTTTTTACTAGTATAAATAACATTAAAAAAAAACGTAATCTGTGTTAATTACAGATTACGTTTTTATATGAATTATTGAAAATTCTCATAAATGGGTAAACATTCGCAGTCTAGTCGTCACTTATTGTTGTACAAATAACAATATAATAATATAAATTCTAGTCGACGCAATTAAATTAATGATTTTAAAATGAATCCTGAAGACCTGCCTATTTTTCTTCGGTCAAACATGAATAAATAAATACATAAAAATTCAGAAACATATAAAAACAATGAAACAAATGCTTCTTTCAAAAAGTATTAAAAAATTGAAAAACCTCAATGCAATTTTCTTTGGAATCTACAAAAACAAATTACTCAATCTTTTAATCGATCGATCGACCCATACGATCCACCTGTGGACCATCGGGGTTAACGATGGCCGAGATCGAGCCGTGGAATCTGGACCACCAGAACCAGATGCACCGATGCCGTCCCGGTTGCGCTACACGCTTTCACTCTGGTGGGTTCGGTGTATGAATTCGACTCGCGCGAAGACGAGCGTGGAGCGTGGCGGGTAAGCGAGACCGGCTCTAAGCTACTTTCTCCGGGCGATTGCCGATCCACGGGGTCCGTTACGCAATCTCTGACATAACCTTCGCCACGCCATCGGGCTGTTACGCCATGCCCGGTACCATTATTGTGACTAACACGACACGGTGCGACGGGGGTTTGTTACAGCGGACAATCCCGGAATTCTGACCGCGCCAAAATTACTCCCATGCTCTGTCCTCGAGTTCGTCGATACTCCCACGACGGATCGGTAACGCTCGTTTTTGTGAAAGCGTTAAATAAATATTGACTCGTTCTCAGTTCGATCACGTTTCGTATGATCTGTTTGGCAGGTTGGCAAAGATTGGCAAATTCTTCTGTCGTAACGTTCAGAGCACGTGGTCTCGACTCGTTATGTTACGTGAGAAATAATACAGAGACAATTTTGAACGTTGAAAATGAATTTTGAGAGTGACCTATAACAAGATCCCAGGGAGATCCGTTTAATATTTCATGCGGCAGGTCCGTCTGGTCATAAACGGGAATTCTGCGATGCAAATCCTTTTGTCCATGGACCGACCTTCGCGATCACGTACTATGGGCAAAACTAGAAAATTCATGAATGTTCCGCAACAGGTTGCCCCGGTAGCTGCGACTTCCTCGTGCTTGAACCATATCCAGTCAAGAGAAAGTATACCGAAGTGAGAAGTGATATGAAGAAAAATAGTCAATCGATGCAGTTCAAATACTAAATTCGCTAATTTAACAACTGGACATAATCCCTCGAAATATTATTTTCGTCGAGATATTATTTTAACGTTTCGATGAATGAATTTATTTGGAAAATCTGGAGAAATGAAAATCATCCGAAAACCAGAGAATTTGGCAACCGGGAGAAACGCGAGTAACACAATACGCTTCCGCGACATAATCGTTTTCCCACAATTGCCTTACACGCGGAAAGAGAAAGGCAGATACGCTCAATGGTCGTACAAGGAAAATACTAGGAACAATTACTCGGCTGTGACGTGATTTCAGCTTCATTCTGTATACACCGGTTATGCGCGCGTATCGTTAAATAAAGACGTTCGGCCAGCCTACATTTTCCCTTTTGGTTCCAAGGTACATTGAGCCTGCGTTCGTTTAAAAACCTGATGACCCAAATATTGTTACATCTTTTATCGAATTATGAAAGTGATTGCATAATGGTACTCGTAGTATGCGTCCAGCTATGTAACAACACTCGTACGTTCGTCATTGATTCAATTATCCCACTTGCGAATCGAACAGAAGATTCGTGTTTGATTTTTCTACACTATTTCAATTATTTACAAAAATTTCTGTTCACTGCATCGTTTCCAAAAAAAAAACGAGACCCCGTCGACAGTTGGAAACACGTGGGCAATTCTGGTAAAAATGTCACTGAAGTGGGCTTACGGGTCTGAAAGTCGGGCTCGTTCAACGCAGGATTGCTCTGCTCCTTTTCACAGGACACTAATTCTCCGGAGAATAATCCTAACAACACCGCACAGAGTATCCTCCGTTTCAGGAGCATCCCGAGGAGCTTCGACCTCGACGGAGGTCCACTAACAGCTAAAACTTGATCCTTGACGTTCAACAGTATTCGTACGATTATTTAAATGTCGCCAAACTTGATTCTCAATGAATTATTAAAGTTTTGGAGAAAATTATGAAAAAATTTCGAAGCCTCTATCGTCCTTGGTCTTGGATTCTTCACTCTTTCAATTCAACTGTTTCACTCGTTAGTTACGTGCCTCCGAGTTCACCGATTCGCGGTTACTTTAATTTGCTCGTTTATTTAGTAGGTTATTTAATTTAGGGGAGACACGAGACGAATCGAATCGGTCAAGGATCAAGGTGGTGGCTAGGTAGATCGACTCTCGTAAACTAAACACGGGCCCCCTTCATATTCTGTCTTATATGCCAGCGGCCCCCTACCCATGGGACTTCTGTTGAAAGCATATCGCGGGCCTCACTCGTAGTTTTCATTAGCCCGGAAAGCACACGACGATTCCACGATCCAAAGGTTAAATATTATTCTCTATACAATTCGAATTTTCACAATGAATTTAATTTTCATTTCAACATACAATTCGAGGCGAAAGGTGTACAAATTTTATTCCATCGAAACTGCATTCGTAGAAACATTGAAATCGTGACGTAAGATATGATTGTCACTAAAAATTTTCCGGTGTCACGTGCCAATCAATGTTCTTCCATCAACGAATTAATTACACGTTCCTCGTGAAATTCGTCGACAGTTCTGGAGCAACGTTCGACACCACTGAAACGACAATTTTGTAATTCTTACTTAAGCGACATTTAAATTAGATCATTGCACAATGCACGGTGGACGGACATAATAGCCAGGCTTAGAAAAATTCTGTGCACCGACAAACGAACAACGCAGTTTGCGTAACCGCGGTTTGCTGGATCATTGCGAGAGCTAAGCATCATCCACGCGGTCTATTACGAACGCTTTAATGACATTATTTGAATCGTACGCTTGTGAAACGATTTTGTTCTTCGTTACTATAATTCATTTTCCGGATTTCCCTAAATGGACAAAATCGATCAATTAGAGTGAATTAAAAGGGCCTCCCGTGATTATTATAATTTCTTTCAGACAGTAAATTATAATGCCATGCTAATTAATTAAATAATTTGTATTCGTACCTCCCTATGGGAGTTAATAAAAATTTAATAATAGCAGTGTTGACAGTAGACAGATTTATTTAAAAGTTGACAGTTTATTTTAAGTCGCTGTACAGTTTATTAGTGGTCGATGCCAGTACGTCACGTATTTTTTTACTCGTCGCACTGCTGGCCATGAATTTGTAATGCGGCATTGTCTTTTTTCGAATTAGTCCTTGATAGGAAGCGTGCATCGAATAGCTGACAAATTACTCGGAAATGAACGACGTGGAAAGTCGCTGCATTTCGCAGGATCTTTTCCATACGATCAACAATACGCGTTTAATTCTAAAGTACAGAATTTTCTATCATCGAAAGTTTTTAACAGGAATTTAAATATTCTTTTAAACAATAAATGATTTCTCTTTAAATTACTTCATCATTCGTTTACGATATTCACTTTTGAATATAAATGTGAATGCCTTTTGAATAATAAAACACGACACGTAATATCGAGTTTAAATTTTGCTACTTATTTTTTAAAACTGAATGAATGGTAAGTTTTTGGGGAACTCGGTTTAGTTTTAATGAACGATTTTTTGGACACCTTGAAACTTTCTGTTTCACGGTGTTTGGAGAAATCCCGAAGGAACATGTAGCCGTTACCCAATTCGTAATTCAGATGTATAGTGTCGACACTCTTTGAACGTTTTACGCTCGTGCCCCTAATTCAAATGGCTTTCTAACGCAGATTTAACGAGTTTAAAAAAAATTCAGTAAAATCTTATAGGAAATCTTGTAGTTCCTGCTAATTTCACGCGAAATGACATTCTACTCTGCTTTGAATAGAAGCAGTCCTTGACTCTCGTCTGGAGGCATTAATTTATTTTAAATTATGGATATCATCCTATTAGTCTTGTTTGCTAATATAATTGCTGATACTTTTGTGGAATTTCACAGCAGAGAATTGTTTTAATATTCATCGAACTGAAAGGGGGATTTGCTTATTTATAGAAACTGCATAGAAAAAGTGATTAGCTCAGCTTCTTTGATCTCTCTGTTATTATTCACTGAATTCCAAAGGTTGCATATAATATTTACGCAGGATTCGGCTTACGAAGTTCCCAGTCATTTTGGTCACCTTGAGCAACTGCATTCGCCTCTTTTTTTATATCGCAAAACCAGTATCGAACAAAGAGTGCGTGCAATCGTTCGTAAAAAGGTTCACTGAGACTGCGTTGCCTTGATATTCGCGACTTTACTTTTACTCAGAATTTTTTAGTCTGCAAATTTCATTTTTACATACCAACTGCAAGAGCATTCGCATGTTACAGTACACTCCAAAAATTTATTATAAATAAAGAATGTCAGAAGAATTATATTTTGAACAAATATTTTAGTATGATTGTAGAACGATTTATTATTAACGTAATTCTTGTCGCGATGATTGACAGGACGGATTAAAAATAGTAATTTGGATGCAATTAGCTGGTCTAAAAATGCATGAAACTCGTTGCTATCTATTATTTATTCGTGGCATCTTTCACAATAGTATAATTATAGAAGAGCAATTCAGGAATGAGGACTGTACGAGATTACTATTGATCAAACTTCGAAATTACTCCGTTTTCGGTTGTAATTGAAAGTTAGTTCTATAGATAAATTATTGACAATTGCAAGGCTCAGTCCTAATAAAAAAAATAATGAAAAATTATACATCGTTCTAAACTTAACATAAGAGCATATTTACATTTTGTCACGTTAAATTAAATATCTCTCGTGGAAGTCATTTTTTAATTCTTTAATAATTAATTAAATGAACGAACGAAGTGGGTGTAAAACTGGTTTTAACCGGCGCCTACAATATAGTTACACAGCTAGCAAGCCAGTAAGACTGTTAGCCTTTCTCCAGGGTCATGCACGTACGAATCGAGCGTTTTAAAAAATGTTTCCATGCAAACATTTGAAACGCGTTTAAAAGTAATAAAAATTAAAAAAATATAAAAATAGTTAGATAAGAATTTAGTATACGCTTTAAGGTGGTAGAAGGACGTCTTCCGGGAACACTTCGAATATCGTATTCGTGAAATCCCTGACCAGTCGAGCTATAGTCTCCTCCAACTTCGGCTTGATCTCTGCTATCACGGTGCTCCAATTATCGTTCAGGAAGAGATTCATAGCTGCGGATAGTGTCTCGTCGCCGTCGAACAGATTGTCCAAATATACAACTGCGTGGCCGATCTCGAAGTCCACGTAGATATCATCCACCCTTTGATGAACTGACCCTGTCACCTCGTCCTGATAACGTTCGAACTGCAGCGTGATCACGGTTTCGATGTCCGTGAAATTCCCGTGGCTGATGCCGTCTCCTGTGATCGGCAACAACATGATTCTACCTTCCAAATAGTAATTCGCTGTCATCTCCAGTCGCGGGATGTACAGTTTCAATTTCAATCGATTCTTTTCTGTGTCGAGTCTAATATAGGGAACAGAAGTTTTATGATAATTATTTATTACGACTAAAGTGGATTATTATATATATA